CAACAAAACAAAACAAAAACCCAACAACCTTATCACCTATGCTTAACTTCTGTCTTTGTTATGTATGCCTACATCCGTCATCCAACCATAGCACACCTTTCCTTTGATCAGTCAATCTAATTGAATGTCTGGCCCTTCATTTATTCATCTAATTATTCATCCGGCGAACCACCCACTTTTCCATCCATCCATCCATCTGTCTGTCCCTCCATCCATCCATCCATCCATCCATCCATCCATCCATCCATCCATCCATCCAACCATCCATCCATCCATCCGCATGTCCTTCAATCCATTTTCCTTTAATCCCCCTCCCCTCCCCCCTTTTCCAGCCATGTACCCATCAGTCCACCCTCTCATCCAACCAACCATTTATCCGTCTAATCACATTTCGCCCGTCCTTGAATCATTTCATACGGTCATTCTCTTATCGGGAGTGTTTGTATTGTTGTTATGTTTCTCCAATCGCCTGTTACCCATCATTAGTATGTTTGCCTATCCGTCTGCCTATCTGACTGTGCCCAAGGGAGTGAACGGATGTCCATTCTGTCCGCTTTAACACTGTAGTATACACATTCTCGTGAGTTGATACCAGTACCAGTATCCAATGTTATTGTAATCAGACGACAGTGGTGGTGTCTGCGTCCGATAGTGATACTGCGTGTTGTAGCGTGCTTTAAGTTTCGTGAGTGGAATTGTTTATTCAGCTACAGCTGCCGCGATCTAAATGATATACCGATAGGAGACACTGCACCTTACAGTTATCACTTTAAATGCAGTGACGGTAGCGGCTTGACTACAATAATATTATATAATCAATCAATTGTAAGTGGAACGCCCAAAACCCGATCAGGCTAGACTAGGCGGGGGAGCCTTTTAATTTTCCTGTACAAAAAAACCCAACCGCTGTAGTTTTTCCCAGCGAGGCTATGATTTCAAACGGAATAAAAAAGAAATATGTATCGTATTGATTCTATAGGCCTTAGATATATAGAAACCCAACGTGCGAGGAAGAGTTCTAAAGTTGCAAACTATGTGAAAAATTATATTATACATGTTGATGTATGATTGTATCTGATGCCACCAAGTGGCTGGGCAGGCGACACGACGTAATGGTACTTGAATTGTTTGGCTTTATTCAAGGGATGCCTTTTGTCATTGAAATCAAATCAAGTCAATAACTAGAATTAACTGATTATTTGCTGATTAGATCAACATAAGTTCTTTGTAAATTCTTCTGCCAAGTGGCTTCAAAGTTCAACAGTCGACATCCGCAAATCGGCATTATGTAACACCCTGTGCGAC